TACCGCAATCCCGCGCTCATCTGTCTGCGAATGCGCATAACATACGCGCAGATACCACTACGCGCTATTTACACAACTGCCAAGATTTCTTTTGATATGAATTCAAGCAGTTCCTCATTACACTATCACATCGCACTCATATTCTGAAACGATCAAAAAAACTGTATTATAACAAAAATTACTTAATTTTCATAAATGTAGTTTGAACTCTACAACTGAAAAACCACAAAGTCCTCGGACAGACACGAAGCGTCCGTAAAACACACAACCGGAAATGGCCGAAAAAAATATGCTAAAGACGCATTTCCAATGTTCATAATTTTCAACGTAAATATTAATGCACAATTTTGATTTATTGATAAATAACATTATTTTATTTTTGAAAATTATGATATAAAATTTGTTCAAATAATGAAATATTTTAATATTTATATTAAATTTAATATTTTATATAAATAAAAGTAATTTATGAATTATTTAATATTTTATACTTTATATTTAATTTAATATTAATAAATAATCCATTCAATTTTTGCATTATATATACGTATATTTCACTTATATGTATTTATAAAAATATAACTTTTTAATATTTACTTAATTTTAAAACATATCTATGTAACTTATTTGAACTATGACCAAATTACATTTATTTCTTACGAAAATATACAGACACATACAAATACGATTCCATACTATGGCAAAATAGAAAGATTTATAGCGCACAGTGAAAACATTTTTGGAATTGACAGTTTTCTACCATTCATCTTATTTTTTTTTTAATTGTCAACAAATAAAAAACTTACTTAATAATGATATCAATTTAAGGAAAATTTATATCTTCCGCAATTTTATATACAAGGTAAATATTAAATTATATTTTTCTATTTTATAAGCGATTAAAATATGATGCATTCTAATTTTTTTAAATCTATTTATTCATTTTTAATAATCAAATTTTCTAAATAAAAAGATAAATATTTTAAATTTTATTATATACTTTATTTATTTATCATTATATTAATGTATTAAAATTTATTATCAATTAAAATAAATAAGATTAAGATATAAGATAAGATAATAAAAATAAAATAAATTTATAAAATTATAAATATTATTAAATATATAATACTTCAATTAAATTTTCTATATTTTTATTTTTATTACGTAATTATTAAAAATATTTAAAGTACATATATAAAAATCAATAAATATTAAATATAGATTATTATTTAAATATAGTTACATATTTATAATAAAATATATCCATTAAATTATATGATTTCATATAATATTTTTAATATTATTATAATAATTTAAAAGAACAATATTTTAACAATAAAATTTATTATATAATATGTTTTTAATTTTACTTATTTAATACCATGATATTATATAAAATCATGTTCATTATCAATGTTTATTATAATTTAGAAACAAACACATCCTTCAAATGGAGCGTGTTTTGAAAGCTGTACCAGCGGATTTAAGAGTAAAAATGGAGGCACTTGTGCATGATTTAACTTTGGCATTAGAAGAAAGCAACAATAGTGCAAATGTGAGACGCAGATGGGGTATTAGAAGAAGAGCCCGTTCCACGGGCAATATTCGTAAGTATAAAATAACAAAAATATAAAGAAACATAATTTTTTTTGTAAAATTATTTAAATATTTTATATGTTAATATGTTATATAAATGTTTGTGAAATGAAGGTTAAAATGGATTCTAATCACATTTCTATGAAATTAGTTCCAGTCTACTTCTACAAGGCAGACAGAGGATTGTTATCAAGATTGTGTTTATAGAAACCATATTTCATTACTCAAAGAAGTCAAATTTTATAAATCTTTGAAAAGTAATTTTTAACACTTGAAAAATAATCAAAGAATTTGAAAAATAATCTTCAAATAATTACTTTTTATTTCAGCATCACTTCACATGAATAAACAATCGGATGACAGTTCATCTTCCATTTGTGATATCCATATTCCAAAAAATAACACTGCCTCCAAATATCAATCTGATAGTGATGATACCAACCAAACAAAAAGATTTGCACGATTTTCTAATTCAAACAATGCTAGCAACATTGAAAGTGATTCAGTTAATGAAAATTTTGTACCTAGAGTAAATCCACGACGTAAACGAAAATTTAAGAGAATGGCTATTGATTCTGATTCTAATCCATCAACTTCTCAGACTGTTGCATTGTCAACAACACTTGCAAATAAAAAGAGAATTTTACGAAGTGATTGTAAAAATAGATATGGAACAATATGGTAATGTATATTAAAATAAAATAATAATATAATAAAATAATAATATAATATATATTATAATAAAATATATATTATGTAAATATTATGCAATAATAAAAAATCGAATTTGTTGTTATAGGTGTGGAAAACGTAAGAGGTCTTGTAGAGAACGATCAACAGATTGTGATATGAGATCATTAAAACCAAATAGAAATACAAAATCAAAAAATCGTATCAAGATACAAACTGAAGATGGTATTGATTGTTCAAGAATATCTAGTTCAAGTATTTCATCTAGTGACTCAGAAACTGGACTTATGACAAATGATGAAGATCGAGAAGGTAATTAATTATTTATGTAAATAATGAATATTATAATTATTTCATTTTTTTCACTTTAGGAGATGATGAGCAATCAGATTGGATTGGAGAACCAAGTTGGTGGGATGATGGTGAAAGTACTAATGAAGATAAAGTTAATACTGATTCATCATTTCAAATGATGATACATGGAAATTTTGAACATACAACAGTTGAAACAAGAAAAAGCTATAGAAAAAGAATTCAAAGAATTCGAGAAGGTCTTAGTGGAAGAGAAATCCGCGCTGGTCGTCGACATGTTGATAATAAACCTGGATATTCAATTATTACATCAGCAAATGAAAAAGTTTCTAGATTTTTACAAGATCCTACTCAAAATGAACTTAGATTACATCCTATGCGACAAGCTGAGAGAGAAAAACTTCGCAGACTTGCAAATTTATATAGTTTAAGTTTAAAAGGAGATTTAGGTTGTCCGATTTTATATAAAACTCGACATACTACACAAGCTATTTGTGTAGATCAAGTATCATTCAATCGATTTTCTGGTTATAAAAGATTAAGAAGAACTCCACCAAATTCACCTAACTCAGAATTAATAATGCATAATCAGGAACATCAAATTTCTAATACAGGATTTGGTTCACAAATTATAAATCCTATATCAAATTTAGATTCATTGCAAGCATTACCGCAATTTTCTCATTTTAAATGGGATTCAAATAGCATGGATATTGAAATTCATGGAAAACCAAAATTACATGATTTTGATCATTCAAAATCAAGTTAAACCAAACAGTTTTTTGTTAATTTGTTTTTTGAAATAAATTATTTGTGTATATTCATATGGTACTTTTATATATGTCTTTTTATCAAAATAAGTATTTTATAGTATTTAAAAAATTACAAACATTCAATGTAAATTTTTTTAATTAAATAATTCTCATCTGTGATTAAGATTATATAAATATATACATTTCTTTAAAAAATTATTATTTAGTAAAAAATTAATATATTTATCAATCTATTAATCATTTAATGTCTAATATTTTTCAAAGTATATATTTATATTAAAATTTAATTTACATAATTATATACTTTAACTAATTTAAAATATTATATATCTTGTAAATTTTTAGTCTCTCTAATTTTTCTCCAATTTTAATAATATTATTCATAAAATAATTAATAAGCAAAGGTAAAATATGTAGAAATAAAATGTTAAAAATATTTAATTTATATATTTTTATTAATACAATATTCAAGACTCTTTACTATCTAATTTTTTTTGAGCTGCAAGTATATTTTCATTAGCAAGCATTTGAAATTCTTCAAACCTTTGTGATATTCTTTGATTCATTTTCAAATATTTTTCCATGCAGTTTAGAGCACAAGTTTCTTCCTTTGCTTTGACATCTCGTGTAGTAAATTCATTTATACAATCAAGAAAACATGTTTCTATCAATTTATTATAAGATGCCACAAAATCTCGAACCTGAAGTATTACAAATCTTCTAATAATTTAAATTTCTATTATAACTTATTTATAACTTATTTTCATATAATAAAATTTAAAATTTTTTATTTGCACATTAATGAACATTAATACATTCTTCATTAATTTAAATAAATTTTATAAAATCTTTTTTTATCAAAAAACTATAGATACATACAGATTTAATTTGTTCAGGATCCACATTTGTAGGAACTTGCATAGCCATTGTAATGATATATTTTTTGCTAAAATATATTTACACAAATAATTATAGATATATTTCAATGATAGATATATTTCAATGATAAAGAAATTATCATATCATATAAATTAATTTAAGGTTAGATTAAGATTATTTTAATAAAATATTTAAAGCACGTGCAGGTTGGATAAACATGCACATTGTAATATATATAAAATATTAAATTAATTGTTTAACCTTTGTTTTTTAAGATTTTTGATAGGCTACAAAGATATTTGATCCTAAAACTATCAGATTTAAAACTTTAGATCATCTTAAAGTTATGTTCCAAAATTCGTCGCTAATTTTAATTTTTCGGAACACATTATAAAAAAAGTTTTTACGAAATCTTTAATATAAATTAATAGAAATATTTAAAAATATAATTAGAAAAATAGAATTTTAAAAATTAATAAAATTTAATACATGCATTAATTACATGAATTAGAAATGATGAATTATTCAATATTTATTAAAATTGAATATTCAATATTTGTATAAAATTAAATATCAATATAAGAAAATAATGGAAAAAATATGAGGATAGTAATTATGATACAAATTTATAAACAATCAATGAAATATAACAAATTCATATAAAATTATCATGAAGAATTTATCAATAGACATAAAAGACAAAACTATAGTAGAAAACAAGCAGATGTTTCACGTTAGCAGTTGACTATGGTGTTCAGTCAAAGTAAGCTGGATCTTTGTTTTGAATGTATCGTGGTCTTTTATTTAAGAGGTAAGATGATGGTTATATTTTTTTTACATTATTTGTACAATAATTTGTGTGATATAAATTAAAAATTTCTAAATATTATATTATGTATTCTTTATTAAAATAATTATAATTTAAATATACTTATTAACATGTACAAAAAAAATAAAACAAAAATGTACATATTAAATATATATATGTATTAAACTTATATATATTATAATTTTATATTCTATCAATCATCAAAATTAAGAAAAAAAAATATTGAATATAGTGTTTAGTATAAAATATAATAAATTAGTAAATTATTTAATAATTAATAATTGCTTATTTATTAAATGTTTTTAGTAAAATTTAGTAAAAACTTTTTTACTTATAATATTGATATATCATTATTCTTGATTTAAATTATATAAAATTTGATAAAAAATATAAATTTGATATAAAAAATATTTTTTTTTATAAATATTTTTTTAATTAATTTTCTTTATAATTTATCATATTATACAAATACATGTTATTATTACATATTTATTATTAATATAATAACGGTATAAAAACAGATGACAAACAGGTGTTCATAAAAGCAATAAAATGCTTAAATATATAAATTACATTACATTACGTAAATCTACTTCAACATTTAGAACGTATATCAAGCGAAATTGACAGGATTGACATTTTCAATTTTGCATATCATATCATAATTATAATAACATTTGTTCTGTTCCAAATTTTAGTTAAATTTTACAAAAGTATAAAATGTTACCCACAAAATTCTTTTCTTTTTTATTAATCGTAAATTATAATGTTTTATTAACTTTATTATTATTCTGTTTCTTTACTCTTTTAACCACAATGTTATATCCATCACAAATTAGTCGGTAAAATTATAAGTAAGTAAATAAAATATAATTTTCATTACTATTTTACTGTAATATTATTTCAATAATCAAATTTGAAATTACTATGTGCTATCATAAGGAAATTGTTATCGTAAAGAACATTGCTTTCTATAGATGGCGCAACGTTTCAATTTTTCATATTTATTCATTTAATTTATTTATTTTTATCTATACATATAGTGATTAATAGTTTACAAATTAATACATTATAATAATTATATTATTTCAGAAAATTGAATAAAAGTAAATAAAGATTTGATTACCATAAAATTCTCTAAGTGTCACATGATAATCGAAATGTTTCTTCAATCGGTAAAACATTGAATTCTTTAACCAATAAAAAATTTTGTCCGATTAAATCACATCTATATTCATCTACAAAAATGTCTAAAAAAAATAAAGTATTATCTAAAAAAGGAAAATGGATAAATAATTCTACAACAAGATATCAACGTGCAATAAATATTCCCCTACAAAATGAAATGAAAGTAAAAAAAATTGAATGTAAAGACTATATGGAATCCATCGATAATAAAAGTTATGATGATATGAATGATGACAATCCAATTATTATGTTGCGCAAAGAAATACAAGATTGGAGAATTAATGAAATATTAACATCTAGAACTGAAGAAAGACTTACAGGAACTCCAAGCGAACAACATAGTTGCAGTTATGGTATATTATTTTATGTTATTATAAAATATCTATAAAATATTTTTACATTTATCAAATATTTTTTATAGATATTTTTATGATTAATCATTATTATTATTATATTTATTATTTATAGTTGCTTCCGGAGAAACAACAAAAAGACAACAAAGTCCGAATAACATTTCTAAGATCTCTACAATGTGTGTTGATTTTCCAGCAGTCACGTGAGTAATGACTTTTTATACATTCTTTATGCAGCTTGTACATTATTAATATAGTATTACTAAAATGTAATTCTGAATCGAAAAAATCAATATAGTGAAATGATAATTTAGAATATATATTGCATAAATTGCATATTTCTTTTTTTTCTAATTTTTTTAACACGTGAATCAGTGTTAAAAAGCACAAAATATTTGTATTCTATTGTGTTATGTGTTTAAATATAAATTATCATATAAGTTATATATAATATAATAAGTGGTTATAATAAGTGACAATAATAAAGGTAAGTAAGAGAAAAATTTATATTTATGAAAAGAAATTTTTCGAAAGTATTCTAATAATGTTTCGTGATAAGATTCGTATTTTCCAATTTTGATAAAACGTGACCAAACTGATTGCTATGCGTTGAAGAATCAAGAAATAAGCTCGAGTATGTCTTACGTAAGTAACTGTAAATGAAGAACGATGGGAGAAATACGATTGTGTATCTTCACGATGCATATGTACACGTGAGAAAGACTACGTCATTCTGGAATTTTCGAAAGTTTCTTCTAACCGGTTTCTGGTTATACACGCAGTAAGACCTGTTTAGTACTCCTCGGTACTTGCATCAAGTTAAACTCTATCTTTTAATGTAATTACGTTATTTTTATACAGACAAATATATATAGTGACATACTATGAATGAAATTATAGTGAAATTATAGTAAGAAATTATTATGCAATTCTATAATTAACTGTGATTCACTTAATCATTTTTTAAAAATTTATTCATGTACATAATTTATTATATCTGATGATTAAATATATAGATAGTTAAAAATCAGCGAAACATAATTTTACTAACAAAAAAATATTTTTTTAATGTTGATGTCATTTCAATTTTCGCGCGCTTTTAGTGGAGTCATCAAAGTGAACGGTCAACGTGCACAACACGAAGTAGTTATTGAGAGGCCGTTGTAGTTCTTTAGTAGTACCGTCACGAATGAAAAATGATAATGAGTATAGTGCTGTAGGTTAGTGAGAACAATAGCCACTTACGCTAATCAACGGAGATACATGCCGCGCGCGTTCGGTAGTAAAAATATTTTCGGTGATAACTCGTGCCACGAATGAGAAATATCGAGACATTGCCGAATTTGTCCTCGACCATGAAGTCGTTCTTTCGTCGTGACTGAATTTTCGATCTTTAAGCATACGTATACTCTTGTCATTTTACTAATGCCAAGCTCGTGCATATCGAGGAGGTTTTATTTGTCGAGTCACGAGTTCCGAGGACATTTGTCTTGAATACTCTCGAATGCATTATATCGCGTTAATAATGGAAACGAAAAATAAAATCATACGAATATTCAAGGTCTGCAAGGAAATGAAACTTCAAGTGCAGCTAGCTCATCCGGATAATGATGTAGGTTAGGTTCCCAGCGGTATACATCGCAAAAATCAACATTCTTCGTAAAGCCAGGGTTCGCAAAAAATGTAAACCGGTTTGCCTCGTAAATGGCACACGAGCGTGCGAACGGGAGACAGACGCGATGAGAAAGAACGAGTGAGAGTAAAAGAAACATAAAGAAAAGAAATCTTTTAATCGTGATATACGGTAAAGTGATATTTCAATATATATATATTTATATTTCTCTAAAAAAAAATTATTTCATTTCGTTATATATAGTGATTTTATACTGATAGCAATTTTCGATAGTAATTTCTTATTGGATTACAATTTTAAAAATAATTAAGTTTAAGTTAGTTATTTTTCATCATAATGAACTTATGCTAAATTCATTATTTTACCATATTTATTCATCATATGACCTCAACAGTAATAGACTGATACATTTCTGATTCGTCAGCCATGTTTTTTATATAACATTACGCGCAACACTATACGTGACGTCAGCTTATATTCTCAATGTTGTTAGTTAGCATCGGCAGACATGAAATTCTTGTAGAGAAAGTATGATTGAGTTAGTCTCAGATATAATAATTATCAAGGTCACTGCCCTAAAAAACAAAAAAGAAAAAAAAAATTGTGCATTTCGTTGAATACATGAAAATAGTTTTATTATTGATTCACAAGTTATTACGATTAAAATCACGAGAAAATATTGTGATGTATTAATTAAGTTCAGAATATACGGTTTTTTTTTACGTAACATTGATAAACGATGTCAGAATATATAGTAGATTAATCAACATCATCAACGATATGGAAATCTTACAAAGCATAATTGAACATAAGCTAGAATAATAAGATTTAATGTGTGACGAAAAAAAAACTACTAACATACATGATATCACGTAAATATAAGAACTGATTAACAGTATTTTTGTATTGTATTGTAAAATTATTTTTTTCATTTTGTTTTTTTCTATTAAAAAAATCAATTTTTCTATTAAAAAAATCTTTAATAGAAATATTTGCAAATTTTTGTTAGATTTTTTATTTCTATATAGAATGCATATTACGCTGCTAGTACGACATGTTAGAGTTAAAGCAGCACGTTTTTTACGTAACGCTACGCGTAACGCTGAGGCGTGACGTCAGCATACTCGGCGTCGCGCCAGCCACCAACGACGATGAACGCCGGACGCGGAATTCTTGTGAAGAAAGCACCGCCGAGAGAAGCCGAGTGTAGCCGAACGGAACGACATGGCATAGTTGCACAAGGTGGCAACGCTGCAAGCGTCTGCTAGGTTCAAGGGTACGGAGTGGAGGTTGCTCGCTCGTCCCATCGCTCGACACGACCAGGAGCTTGTCCTGAGAAACAGTTGGGCGCATGTCCGTTTTCATCCAACGGGAAACTTCTCGAAAGATGCGCGCAAAAAACTCGTACGTCATTTACTATATAGTTTATATTCGGAGAAATTCCTTCAACTGAAATGTGAAGGAAGTTAAATGCTCTTAGCGTCTGACACATACGTCATGCTAGCGACTATTCGTCGGGAATTTAAAAGTGACTCGGCTGTTCAGAAACATCATGTTCTCAATTTATTCTTGTCTGCTTTAAATTCCCGTTTTCCTGTTTTTAAAACGTGGTTAGGTTTTTAACTTTATAAATTTTATAAAAAAGTATTTGATATTTTTTCAGTGTGTATATATATATATATATATATATTGAAAATTAATCAACTATGAATCAAAAATAAGATGTTACTATATCTTTTATGATATAGTAAAATACATAAAAAATATTATTGATTACAATATAAAATAAAAATGAGAGTTAATGCAAAAAGTTTTCAAAGACAACAACGTAAAATAAAAAATACATACATTGTATGTAAAAAATTATTTGCATTATTTATTTATATACATTGTATGTAAAATAGAGCACGCAATGAAAAAATAAAAAAATATTTTATAAATTATATATAAAATAATATAAAAAAAGATATTTATTATAATAATAAATAAAAAATAAAAATAATATTTGAAAAATAATTTATAAAAATATACTTTTAAATTAAATTTGAAAGTATTATGAATCAACAGAAGAATTGTAGAATAAATAATTAATAATATGTGAAATAGAAATAAATTTTAGAAATGAATATCAACAAATAATACGTAAGACATTCCAATTAATTCGCCAATAATTTATTTAATTACAATTTTCAAATTATTTTTGAAATATCCATATAAATTATATATATCATAATTAAGTTTTTTAGTAAAATCATTAAATAAATAACCATACATGAAGATCGCGGTTAGTAACGAGGCTATTTTATCGCGCAATAGCTGTGATCTTCTTCGAGGCATAGAATCCGCTGGCAAGGATCCCAGCAATGAATAAAAACAGAAAGTAGAGAGTCATCGAGTCGACTGCGTCCTGCTGCTGGTTGACCTCGGCCCTGGCGTCGAGATCGACGGGAAACGGATTTACAACTCTGACACTCGTATTTCGCGCTGATACATACATATATGTTCTTTTAGTAGGACTCATAGAAGCAAAGTCATTGTTATGTCTGTCATAAAAATAAGAGCAAAAGAGATAGTGAGACGGCATCGAATTGAATTTCGATTTATGTATAATATATTTTTGGATAGCAATTATGATTAAGAGATGGAAGAAGTAGAATAAATATTTAATATTATTAAGATATTCTAACCATATTAGTTAATGCTAATTTTAATTTGTTTATTTCATAATTATTAGTTCAATTTGATAATATAATTTACGAATATATATTTAATATATATTTTGAATATTTTGGATGAACTTACAATTAAAAGAAAAAAAATTTTAATTATCATATAACATATAATATAAAATTTTAATGTTATATGACTTCATTTATTATATATTTATCAATAATTACAATGTAATTAATAATTAATACAACGTAATTAATAATAATTACAGTTTTTTATTAATATAAACATAAATAATATCAATAAAAGCATAATAATAATTTTTTATAAGTATTTAAAATCATTTTTTATAATTTGATAATTAGATCAGAAGAATTTTAAAAATATTATTTAAATTTTTATAATCATTTGTAGGAAGATTGATTATTCATTCTTTGCATTTTTATTTTAAATTCCATTTTAATAAAGTTAATGAAAGTATTAAAAAAATAATTATTGGAGACGATTCAATAAAACAGTACTTAAAAATAATATTTCTCAATCTTTGAATATTTAACTTAACAAATAATTTTATATAATATAATAGAAATATAATAAAAATAAAATTTTATATAATGTAATCGATTTTTATGTTTTATATATTACAAATTTTAAAAAATTTTTTTAAAAGTTAAAAAACATTCTGGATATGAAAAAAAAAATTCCTAATAGAATTTCATTATAATATTAAATTGATGATTTTAATTCCAGATGATTATAAATCCAGATCTTATATATCGAGATCATATATTAATATATTTCATATATTAATCTTAGATTTTTTTATAGATATAAAAATTTCGATTAGATAACGTCCCACTATAAAATAAAAATTCGCAACAATGGCTTCAAAAAAAATAT